TAAACATAAATTAAAAAGGGATTTCCTGCCGTTAAAGACTTCAAATGACTTCAAGTGAACATATGTTAATAAAAAAACTTGGAACCGTCAAAACCATCAATATCTTATACCCTAACCATATACACCCTAAGCCATATGTACCTTATACCCTATACCCTAACCATATACTCTATATCCTAAACAACGAACCGTCAAAGATTACTTATCAAGTTTAGTATAAATTGTTGTAACTAATGGTTAATTTATTTATTAGCCCATAAACAATTACATACATATATATTAGCCTTCAAAGCATATAAGAATAATTTTAACTAGTCATGCCCTCCATATAAAAGTTAAAGATTCATATTTTAAAAGCTAAAATTATGAAAAACCAAAATATTGAAAACACCAAATTTGTTTCCTTCTTTCTTTTCACAAAAATACTAAAATTTCCCTCCTTCTTTCTACTTCCATACATTAGAAAACTCAATTTTCCCTCCTCTTTCTCTTCCATCAAATTGAAAGAACCAAATTACCCTCTTCTTTCCTTCTACAAATAGGTTGAAAACTCAAAAGTTTCCCTCATTTCTCTTTCATAATCAAAATAATCAAACTTTCCCACTTCTTTCTCTTCCCACATATCAAAACCACCAAAATTCCCACTTGTTTCTTTTCTAAAAAATTCAAAGAACCAAATTTCCATCTTCTTTCTCTTCCCAAAAACTTGAATACACCAAAATTTCCCTCTTCATTTAAAAATATCAAATTACCAAATACATTACTTTACTTTATTTATATTTAATTGATAATTTTATTGAATAGTTAAATTAATCAAAATTTTAATTTATATATTAAATTAATATTGTCATGATCTCAAGTGACCTTCATGTTTCAATTTTTGTAATATTCTTAAAATACGTAATATCAAGTGAGTTTCATATTTTTTAAATTTCCTATACGAAACGAAAAAATAATTTTACTTAAATTTAGAATGAAAAACTTTATTTTGAAAAACTATGTATTGTATATTTTTATAATTGTTCAAGTGGATTAGATGAAATTCGGGTTGAGTCGGTCGGGTTACGGGTTAGTAAGGTTCGGGTCAATCGGGTTCGGGTTAGTCGGGTTGCGGGTCAATCGGGTTCGGGTTAATCGGGTTGCGGGTCAGTCGGGTTGCGAGTTAGTTGGGTTGCGGGTCAATCGGTTTGCGGGTCGGGCGGGTTACGGGTTGTTGACTTTTAGTCAATTCGGGTTGCGGGTCGGATTGATCGTGCGGGTTAATCGGGTCGGGCTATGTTTTGACACCTATAATTTTGAGTACGTTTCAAAAACCCAAACTAGATAATCTCGTTTCCCTTTTGCCTTTATAATCCCCTCCCTCCAAAGAGTAAGGAGACTCTCTCTCACCAAAAGAAGAGAAAACCCATATAAAGAAAGATTAGAAGAGTCATTAAGACATGGAAGTGTAACATTCACCAAACCTTTACTAAACACACCCACATGAATTTTGTTCCCATTTCCCATCTCAATTAGGAAACCCACAAAGGAAGCTTTCCTGTGATAAATTGCACTTCCCCTTGGGTTAGTGTTCTTTTATGGGCATGTTAGGCAAATTGTCCAGCCGGCAATTACTTGACTTTTTCTGCGAGTGTGTTCTTCAAGTCACTGTTTTGAAGAAAAAAATCTGTGTTCAATTTACAACCCATTTTCAACAAAACAACTCTCGATGAATATTATTAAGAAGAAAGGTTAGGCAAAGTGAGATTAGTTTCCAATCGACAGCTAGCCCTCTGACAACTACTAGCAATTTGAATGGTAGGTAGTTCATAGTTCAAACCTTAAAATGTGTTTAAAGGTCCTAAATGATTAACACATAAACTCAATTAAGAGCTTAATTAATTAAGTCGTCTTCTGGGTCATAAGTTCATAGCTTATGCGTTGGCTGAAGTTTCGTCTGAAATTTTGCCTCTTATGGCATTCCAATCCAAATCTAGGTGGTGGATGATTTGGTAGCAAATTGGGTATGTGTCTTCCATAATCATTGATGATATAATTGAGTGGCCATTGAGGAGTGATAGAAAATATTATTATAGTAGGGAGGGAGTATATACCAAGAGTACCTAATAATTCCTCGTTATAAAATAGTCTTTCGTAATTAATTGATGATCCACGGCGAGTGTGTTTTGGGTGAAATTATGTCTGTAACATGAGAGGGGTTGAATAGGGGAGGCTAAGGTTCAAGAAAGTGTACTAGTGAAATAGTATTTGGGATGAAGTTGTCATCTTATCACCAATACGCGGTTCAACAGGCATAATTGAAAGGTATAGTGTGGTGTCAGAAATACATTGAAAGGTTCATGATCACTTTCAAAAAATGCAAGCATTTTTCGGCATTAAACACAATGCAAAATGACACCCTGACATGACATGTATTTTTAACTAGCCAAGAGGGTATAAGACCTTAAGAGTTAAGAATGTTAATGGTATGTGCATGTTTCGTATCACGAATTTTTAAGCTCACATCATTCATTATTGGATATGAACAATAAGTATGAGGTACTGATAATTTTTTTTTAATGTTATTAGTCCTTATGGTATATAGATGTAGAGAGTATTTCCTTAATATAAAAGTGTGAGTTTTCAAATGATATTATTCGTAGTTATATATACGTGTGTCATACATATCCATACATCAACGAATACCAACTGTCAGTTGGGTTACATTTGGATTTAAAGAAATTCGATCAGCCCAATCCATTGCCATCTACAAACACTAGTTTGTTGTCCGACCCGTTGGCCGGAATATTGTTTGATGTGTATCTAAACTTTTTAAATTATTTGAAATGCTGAATTTCGTATGACATTAAGGTGCCATCCAAATTATTTTTCCAATTTTGTAATTCTTCTACTTTTCATAAATGACGGACATTGTAATCTTAATGGTTATAACCAAGTTTGTCAAACCGGTTTAAGTCGTTGAGCCAGTCAAACAAGTGGTTTGAAGTTTAATGGTTTGATTTGGGTCCAACCTGTTTGAGCCATTACACCTTTTCTAAGTAAACTTACACATAAGGTAGAAATTTAGTGACTGAAATGAAATATACTAACTTATATTTATTAAAAACTCAAATTCCATAAAAAAACATACATATCCCAAAATCCACCTACAATCCTCTTCCCTTTCTCCCCCTCCCTCTCTTTCTTCTTCTCCCTCTCCGCGATCAAACCCCTGGTTTGAAGAGCCCATTTTGGAGCCCGACTTTGGTCGAACCTAGTCCAACCAGTCGTCCGGTAGAGACTTAACAATCTTGGTTATAAGTTATAACACTCGTGAATAACCATTTATGACTTGCCTGTTTAATGATGTAGTCACTTAGTTGCCTAAAGTTGAAAAGGAAATTGACATAGCAAAAAATGATATTGTCTGCAAAAGTGTAGCATAAATAGAAAACACATGATCATAACCTTTAGCTAATATTACTTTCTTTTGCTTGAGAAACCATACATATATAGCAATATCTAAAACTTAAAATATTATGCACAATACAATAACAAAATTAGTAAGAAAATAACATTTTTCATCCACATTTTATGCAATGAAAAAATTATTTATCAACCAACATAAATTTAGTCGAAGGATAATCTTATTCACTCAACAAAAAAATTAAACCTATCTTGTGGTACTTAACTTGCTAATGCACATTGACCACATTAATGCGTCCATGAAAACTCCAGCCCGACTTTCATGATTTGTCTTATACTGCGGTTATTTCATATTAAACTAAGTAAATATGAATAATACATATGGTCAATTACCCTATAAGATAAAAGGTTTAAATAATTGAAATCACCTATAAAAAATTGGTATTCAGAAATTGTGTTCTCGGTCTCAAAGGGGAATAGCCGCCGCTGGAAGTTGACTGCAGTGTACGCCTCTCCCCGGCAGCAGCTGCAGAAACTCCTCTGGAACCATCTTATAGAGCAGAGTAAAGCTGTGGATTGCCCCTGGCTTCTATCCGGTGATTTCAACGCTATCCTATCACCCATGGAGACCACAGGTCAAGCAACCCCGTACAATTACATTATTAACAATTTCGGATCAATTGTTACTGTTTTATAGTTTCGTCATCAACGCCTATGAATGAATCATTAAAGTTATGTAACATGGTCATTAACAGTTTAAATAACAATATCATTGATTTACAACATCTTTAGTACTAATGATTCACATTTTCACATCATGTTTATAACTATCTAGTCATACCTATACGGCTTGAGAAATGCTCTGTATGAATAACTCTGTGCAAGTAGCTCCGGAGACTGGCTCGGCCCCACTGGGACGGCCGCCGGATGATCTAGGCTCAGGTACCGGTCCTCTGCTTTTGCCTGAGGCGATGGAAGTGATCGTCAAACCCCCTGGGTATGAAGCGGCTGCTGATATGCTTGTGGACGAGGGACAGACTGCTGCTAACCCAACGGAGGAGGCTCTGACGTCAAAGGGGGAGACAGCTAGGGATATGAATCCAAGCAAGTCGCCTGCCTCAACTGGAGCTGAGAACTCGGTGTCCCCTGACAACAGACTTCAATCCTCCCAACCGGTCTCTTATGCTGGAGTGCTAACAGGGGGAAGGAACCCGCCTAAACCCTCTGCGGTCCAATGGGTTCCTGTGGGGGAACATGATTTGATCACTGGATCCTTTCAAGGTGAACCGGAGCTAAGGATCTCGGAGAAATTCAAGTCCCAACTCAGCAAGCCTTGGCAGAGAACACTTGTCATTCGGCTTCTAGGAAGAACCATTGGCTATACAACTCTATGCAACAGGCTCCGCGCTCTCTGGCGCCCTTCTAGTGCTCTGGAAATCTTTGCTTTGGACGAGGAATGTTTTTTGGTCAAGCTCGGGAATGATGAAGACTACTTCAAGGCGCTCACGGAGGGCCCATGGACCATTTTTGACCACTACCTTCTGGTTCAGCAATGGACGTCTGGATTTCCGGTCACGGACAGTCTACCTATAACAATGGTGGTCTGGGTACAGTTCCCTGGTCTGCCGGTGCACTTCTACCACAAAGAGCTTCTCTTTACTATGGGAAATCTCCTAGGAAGATCAATTAAACTCGACTACCATACTCAGCACCAGCAGCGGGAAAAATTTGCACGAATGGCCGTCGAGGTTGACCTCTCAAAGCCGCTGGTCCCGAGGATCAGGTTAGACGGCCGGTGGCAGAAGGTTGAATATGAAAACCTCCCGGTTGTCTGTTTTGAGTGTGGGAAAGTGGGGCATACGAACGTGTCTTGCCATTCAACTGGTCGGGGGGTAAACAGCGGAGCGGAAATTGACTCCATGACGTCGGCGGTGGTAGTGGCCGGCGAGGCTTTGCCGGAGGCCAATGCTGGCTTCGGACCGTGGATGATTGTTTCGCGCAAATCATGGCGGAATCAGAAAGATACTCTCACAAATGGTAAGACAGATCAGGGCGTGGCTATCCCCAACGGACTGGAGAAAGGTGAGGAAAGGAAAGAGGTCGAAAGTTTGGGGAAAGTTTTATCGCAAAAATCAGGGCTCTCTGAGCGAAAACAGAGGCAACAAGCAGGGGACAAAGAAGCGGCGAAAGCTGAGGGGAAGGGCAGAGGTAACGCGAAAGGAAAGGGGAAAGCGGTGGAGCCTGTAGGGTTGGCCGAGAAAGGTGTGTTGGGCCCTAAGCCCAAAACAGGGGAAGCCTCTTCTAGCGGAGCTAGCCATGCCCCCACCAAGGCCATTAATCCTACCGCAATAAGTTTGAGCCCACAGTCGACTGCAGTAGCGTCGGATGGGCCTGATGGGAAGGGAATGGTTTTGGGCTCTCCTACCGGGCCTGCGTCCCAAACCTTTGAAGGAAAAAATGGTACCCAAATACGCATAGTGGAAGCCCAGCCGTACGAGCCAGCAGCTCCTCGGTTGGTCGACCCAGAGACACCATCGGCGGTCTCCAGGACAAAGCCAAAGAAAGAAGGTCGCGGGGGAGGAGGAAAGAAGACGGCGACTCCGAAAAAGGGTACTTCGATGCGCCATAATCCCCTCAAGCCACTGCAAATTTGGTCACCGGTGAAAGAGAAAAAGGGCCGGAACAAGGAGAAGAGAGTTTCGTTAACTTTGAAACAAATTAAAGAATGGGCAGAGACGGCAAAGCCGAAGACGGCGGCTGGGATCGAATTGATGAGCAAAGAAGAGGCGGGGAAGATGGCAGCAGAGCCTGGCGCGCTGTCGAACAACTTGGCCGCCCCTGGTCACTAATTCCCGGTGACTTCCTTCCTTTGCGTAAGCTTTTGCTTTCTTCTCGTCTTTTCTGTCTTTTTGTTTGTCAATGTCTGTCAATCTTAATTCTGATTGTAAAATCTTTTCCTGGAATGTTGGGGGAGCTGGTAGCAATGCTTTCTCTCGATCTTTGAAGCTTGCTCTTCAACTCCACAGATCTGACTTCGTTATTCTCATTGAACCGCAGATCAATGGAGAGAATGCTAATAGAGTTTGTGAAAGGCTGGGGTACCCGGATGTCATCCGAGTCGAGGCCAATGGTAGAAGTGGCGGGATTTGGTTCTTCTGGAACGCCAAGCATTTCGACATTTCGGCGGACTCTACGGGCTTCCAGCATTTAACTCTCTCGGTCTCGAAGGGGAATAGCCGCCGCTGGAAGTTGACTGCAGTGTACGCCTCTCCCCGGCAGCAGCTGCAGAAACTCCTCTGGAACCATCTTATAGAGCAGAGTAAAGCTGTGGATTGCCCCTGGCTTCTATCCGGTGATTTCAACGCTATCCTATCACCCATGGAGACCACAGGTCAAGCAACCCCGAGAGTTCTGCGGCGCTGTAGGAGGTTCAACGATTGGCTTAATGAGGCGGAGTTGGTTGATCTTGGGTATTCAGGGCCGAAGCATACCTGGTGCAGGGGTGATCAGCTGCAGACTTTTAAAGCCAGTAGGTTGGATAGGAGTCTCTATAACATCGAGTGGAATAAGTCGTTCCCGAACACTACGGTGGTGCACTTGGCGAGGCTGAGCTCAGACCATAATCCGATTCTGACGACGGTGCCGGTTCAGGGAGTTTCTCACTCTTCTCCAAGACGCTTCAGATTTGAAGCGGCTTGGCTTACTCATCCTGATTTCCATAATTTCCTAATTGATAAGTGGAATGGGCAGAGTGTTAATTTCCCTACGGCTTTGCAGGATCTTTCAGATAACTTGAAATCTTGGAGTAAGCAGGTCTTCGGCAGCGTCTTTCAACGCAAGAAGCGGTTGGTGGCGAGAATAGAAGGGATTGAGAGAAAGCTGGCCATCGCTTTCCACCCCGGTCAGGCCAAACTTCATACAAAGCTCGAAGCAGAGTTAGACAGAACCCTCGAGCAGGAGGAGCTTTACTGGTTCCAAAGGGCACGAGAAAGCTGGGTGAAGTTTGGAGAAAGAAACACAGCCTACTTTCATCAAATCGCCAACATTCGGCGCCGTTTAAACAGGATAGAGTGTCTGAAAAAGGAGAATGGGGAGTGGGTGCAGGATAAACAGGAATTGGCTCAACTTGTTTTTGAGTTCTTCTCTAACCTTTATCTGCAGGAGGCGTCTATCTACACTGATATCATGCCAAAGGGGGCCTTCCCTCGGCTGAGCCAGGAGGAGTGGATGTGTTTATTCCGCCCCTTTTCGATCATGGATATTCACCAGGCCATTTTTTATATGAAACCTATGCAGGCTCCAGGTCCGGATGGCTTTCAAGCAATTTTCTATCAGCAGGAGTGGCGGACGGTTGGAAAGGCTCTCATGGACATGGCTTTATCCTTCTTTGAGAATGGGAGCTTGCCTGCTGCCATCTCGGAGTCCACTGTGGTCCTCATCCCTAAAGTGGAGAAGCCTGAATTTGTTCATCAACTCCGACCCATTTCCTTGAATAATGTGAGCTTGAAGGCCATCACCAAGGCGATGACAAGCAGGCTGAACTTGGTCATGAAGAAGCTTGTCTCTCCTCGCCAAAGCAGTTTCATTCCGGGGCGGCAAACCGCAGACAATATCTTCGTTGTTCAGGAAGTGCTGCATTCCCTGAGGAAAAAAGAGGAAAAAAGGGTGGTATGGTGATCAAGATTGACTTGGAGAAGGCGTATGACAGGCTCCGGTGGGACTTCCTGAGGGATACTCTGATCGAAGTTGGCCTTCCTAGCTCTTGGATTCGGTGCATCATGTATTGTGTTGAGCAGAACCGCATGAGGATTCTCTGGGATGGCGAGCTGACCCAACCCATCACCCCCACGAGGGGAGTTAGACAGGGAGATCCTCTCTCTCCTTATCTTTTTGTCCTTTGTATGGAGCGCCTTTCTCATAGAATAGATGAGGCTGTCCGCGCTAAGCTGTGGAAGCCCCTAAGCATAGCGCAGGGCGGTCTGGTTCTCACCCACCTTTTTTTTGCCGATGATTTGATTCTTTTTGCAGGTGCGGATGGGGCGCAAGTCAGGATCGTTCGCCAGTGTCTTGATGAATTTTGTGAGAGCTCAGGGCAGAAAGTGAACTACTCCAAGTCTATGATGTATGTCTCACCCAATATCTGCCCTCAGCGCGCACAGAGATTGAGTGACAAGGCGGCTATCCCTTTGACTAAGGCGCTGGGGCGGTACTTGGGGATTCAAACCATCCATGTCAGGGTCACTCGGAGCAGATATCAGGAATTGATACTGAAGATTCAAAGGAAGCTGGCACCCTGGAAGGCGAAGCGACTATCTTTAGCTGCGAGGCTGACTGTAGCTCGCTCTGTATCCTTGGCTATCCCTACGTATACTATGCAAACTGAGATGATCCCTGTAAATGTTTGCAACACTATTGACAGGATTAACAGGGATTTCATTTGGGGCAAGGACAAGAACCAGGGGAAGATGCACTTGGTGGCCTGGGAGAGGCTAGCTGAACCGAGGACACAAGGCGGAGGAGGACTCCGGACGCTTCGGCAGGCTAACCTCGCTCTTTTAGCTAAAGGAGGATGGCGTATTCTGCAAGAGAAAGATACTCTCTGGACTCAAGTCATGAGGGCGAAGTATGGAGGGAAGAGGAAAGACCTGAACATACTCCGGCCTTGTCAGGGAAGTTCTTTTGCTTGGTCGAGCATTAATAAAGCTTCTAACCTTCTGAAAAAAGGGTGTGCTTGGAACATTCACAATGGGAAAAGCACTAAATTTTGGTTAGATAATTGGATTTTGCAGGAACCGCTCATTGAAGCTGCTAATCAACCAGTCCCCGAGGAGGAGCGATCGCGAACGGTGGCCTCCTACATTGATGTGGAGGGCCGATGGGACATCACTCACCTCTCCCAATGGCTCTCGACGGATATCCTCCAGAAGGTCACGGCTGTGATGGTTGATCCTCTATCTCCGAAGGCGGACCGAATCTTTTGGAAAGCGTCGGCTGATGGTCGTTTCACTACGAAGACGGCTTATCAATTGAGTCAGCCCGAGCGTTTAGAGCAGAATGACCAGATCTGGAAGGACATCTGGAAGCTTCCAACACCAGAACGGGTCAGAGTTTTTGCCTGGTTGGTTTCCCTTGGTCGGATAGCTACCAATGTGTTGCGTTTTTGCAGGAAATGCAGTGACTCCCCGATGTGCGCCAGATGCGATGACATTCCCGAGACGGTGTTGCATGCTTTGCGGGACTGCTCGCCAGCTCGTTTTTGTTGGTCTCGGTGGGTTCCGGTTGACAGACAGACGGAGTTCTTCCACAAGGGGCAAGAGGACTGGCTTCGTGGCAACTTCAGCAATGAGGACAAGATGGAATCAGGGCTGGCTTGGAATGAGTTCTTCAGCATTGCTATCTGGCTGATCTGGAAGAACAGGTGCACGACGTGTTTCAAGGGGATTGACAAAGCCTTCACAGCTCCGACCTTGGCTCACTCGATTCAGCACAGGTCCATCCTTTGGCACAAGGCTTGGGAGGCGCCTCATATAAAGCCAGGGCGGCCAATCTTGCAGGGAGATAAGATCACAGAGCAGATCAGCTAGCAACCCCCGAACTCGGGATGGCGTAAACTGAATATTGATGGAGCTTCAGCCGGGAATCCAGGGACGGCAGGTGCTGGTGGGGTGATCGGGGATGAACAAGGGCGGTGGATTGCTGGTTTTGTGGCTAAGATTGGAGAAGCGACTGCAGCATTAGCAGAACTATGGGCGTTCTATCATGGTTTAGACCTGGCGTGGAGAATTGGATGCGACAGCCTGGTAGTTGAGTCCGACTCTCAGTTGGCTATCCAGCTGATAAACAACCGGCGGGACCCTGTGCATCCTTATGGCTCGCTTCTTGATGCTATCAGGAGGAAGTTGGCTCAGAGTTGGTTGATTAGGATAGTTCATACGTATCGAGAAGGGAATAGAGTCGCGGACTGGCTCTCGAAGCACAGTCTCGTCTATCCCTACGGTACGCATGAACTCTCTAATCCGCCGAGGGAGCTTGTTCAGATTCTTAGAGATGATGTCATGGGTGTGTCTTTTGAGCGCCATGTGAGGGCGCCTGTTACCTTGTAATCCCCCCCCCCCCCTTCTTGCTTGGCCTCGGCCTCCTTTATTGCAAAAAAAAAAAACTATCTAGTCATGCCTCTTCCAATGATTTGTAATGACATTATTAACGTTTTATGATCAATTAATATTGCTTTACATTATCATTCTCAATAATCGTAAAACACAATACTGATTTTCAACATCTTGGGTACTTGTGACATAGTGCACCTGTGTGATTCAGTCAAACATACATTGTCCAAAAAAAATATTAGCTCAAGCAAACCAACATTCACACCTCAACACCCAACTTTTAATAACAATCCAATAAATCATTGATAACGACAAGTATTTCGTTGAAAATAAACACAAAACATCAATGTAAAAATGTCTGACTTCAACATTATAAATGACATCAAAATTTTAATAAAGATATTAAAAACCATTAATATTGAATGATCAAGTCACTGATAAGGAAATAGATTTTTGTAATAAAAAATATTAATAATATTTAGATGTAATGTTTAATGTCAAATAGCACTAAAAACGCATTAATAAGTAACATGTGTTTAATGGATTATGCATCCAAAAACTTTGATAATGATAGCAACTAATGATTTTGAAGTACCTTATTAGTTATTATTAATATCTTATTTTTCAAACATTGATAATGCTTATACACACCTATTAATAATGACACCAACTACGTTACTAATTTAGACTGAAAGATTAATAATCATAATTATATCATTAAACGTAAATTCACTTTTGCTAAT